TATATGGTTCATGTAAGAATGAAACTGTGTGTGTGTGTGTGTGTGCATAATGATAACTCACCATCAGGTTTAAGCCACTTCCTTGCATGTACATAGCTCTCCAGCATCCTCTCATTGAAGAGCATATAACCCATGGGCTCCGATACAACAACATCAACTGTCTCAGGTAGATCGATCTAAAGATTAAAGTATCGTTCAAAAATTTTGGCATTGTTTATTTTAAAATACTTCATATATCTTGTTTATCACTATCATTCATTAATAATGAATGATACATCAAAAGTATTAAATTCAGAACTAAAATCATAACTAAGAGTGGTCAATAAACATATTTATAAGTGATGAATTATAGTATTCATGAGTTATACAGTGGATTCACACAATACCGTATAAGTGGTTTTCCCGAGGGTTACAAATTTTGCAAATTTCTTCCTGATTCATCAAAATAAAATCCACGATAATAAATTTAATACGGTATCCACATGGCACAAAGTAGAATTCGCGAAATTAAAATCAGCAAATTGGAAATTTAGTAGATTTCTCAAAATGTAATTCCCTTTAAAAAACCACTTATACAGTACACCTAGGAAGCTCACCTCTTCAACTTTGCCAGCAATTACTATGATTTTACTAGCTAGTTTGTTTGATTTGATTAGCTTCTGACAGTGAACTGCCATACTGCTGGCCTCTATAGCATACACTTTCCTAGCACCAGCTTGAACAGCAAACACTGAGAGAATACCAGAACCAGCTCCTACATCAACCACCACCTGAAATTAATAAAATCATCAATAGAGAATACATACCATATAGCAGGAAATTTTGGAGAGAGTTAAATTTGCCGAATAGCTAATTTTTGGTGATTTTGGCAAATTTTAATTTTGCGAATTTGTGGCCATGTGCCATTGAGCATGCTCATAATGGCTCAAAATGGTGGATTTTTATTTTGGCAAATGGCTATCAAAATGCAAATTCACCAAATGTAACTACCTCCTAAATTTCCTTCTATACAGTAGTTCTGCCTATGGTGGTCGGGGGTGGTCGGGATAACCACCTCAACAAATGAACCAATCAGTTTATCACTTAGACCAACCAATACATAAAGTTATTATGGTTATTGTAGTCTATTAGTATGGTGTATATAAATTTAAAAGGAACAATATTAGCCTCTAACCACCTCTAAATTTTTTTCTAGGCAAAACCATGCTGAATATTATTAAAAGAGTATAATATTATGATATAAAGTTGCACAATGTGGCCTTCCAGGGATAATAATAATGACAGCCAGCAATCTGTTTGCCATACTGCCAAACAGCCATTTTTGATGTGATGTGTGTAATTTTCTGTAACTAATCAAAATGCAAATCAGAATATTCTGATACTGTAATGCTCAGTTGAAAACAATTAAAAACAATAAAATTAAATGCATATGTACATGTACACAAGAGTAGGTTAAAGCACGTACTTTATCTTTGAAATCAATCGAATTCTGTAGCATTGCTGACTGATAAGTTGATGTCCGTACATAATCCTAAAAATCAATAATAGTCACATCACTTAAAATTAGGTTCGTGAATCTTAACATTCAGTAAGACAGTAACATCTAATAAAATAATAAACTAACTACCAGTATTATGGTAATTAGCAAAATACCAAAAATTAGCACTCAAAATCCCAAAAGAACTCATTAATTAACTATTCATACATGTAAATTGTCTCTGCATGGGTTAGGGTCAACATGGATGATATGGTTTGGGATTACTTCTTGACAGGGAAACTACATTTTTTGTCACAATAACAATAAATTTTAAACTACAAGTGTTTTCCACTAACAAAATTCACCAGCTGTAGCATTAAAACTATTAAATCAATAATATAATGAACCTAGCTTATCTTCATCAATAGCATTTTTACCAAGAT